CATGCGATGTGTCAGATTTAAGAATCATCCATACAAAATTTCATCACAATGTTGCCAGTAGTTTCAACATAATCGTAAAAAATGTGTAAAAAAAAATATTGTTTCAACACCTTGTATCTTGAGAACGGATGGCGTTACGATATTTCTTTACTGAGCAAACCCAACTTATTTTGCAATGTTAAACCTACCCTAGCAAGGGGGTTAGGTTGTTTTGAAACACCCTGTACACGGAGTGATAAATAGAAATCAATAGAACAAGGTGCAAATTTTTTTGCCATGCACTGCACTTGCTTCAAAATCAATACATAATTCAGAATCGAATTGCCTATTGATTGAGAGCATACTGGGTGTCCCATTTAAAGACGTTGAACTTTTTTACGTAACTCGTGAACGCTATGTTGGATTTCTGTTCAATTTCCGCCAAAATACTACTACTTTGTCCATTTACCTGACTTGATAGCTCCAATAGTAACCAAGTTCGCAAGATTGTCGACTTATATTTGAAAACCATGTATAGAGCTCATAAAATTTCGTATAAAACTGTTTAACGTGAAATTGAATAAAGTAAAATCCGATTTCTACTATCAGTACTACCGAAATTTCCTAAATTAATTCTGATTTCAATTTACCAATTTTTTTTTTTTCAAATAATAATCTAATATACAGGGTGAATGTGATGACTTCATGAGTAACTTTTTTTATTGGAAATCCCTTTTTTTTCGATTTTCGGATTTTTCTGCTGAGCTTATTACAAAAAAGTATCAAAAGTTACTCGAAATAAGTACAGGTGAAAAAAACTACGATAGTTTATGAAAATTCAAACCGAAGATCGACATGTATTAGGTTTTTTTCAATAGTTATTTTCCTTCTACTAATAATGAATTCATGTGACACTCCAATATCTTTTTTGTTCGAAAGATTGATTTTTTGACTTTGTGATTTTCTTACAGAAGATGTCTAATTATTAATGTCTAATTCGACACACTACACTGTTTTACCACTAACCAAACCGATTTTGTAACGCCTCGACACGTGTTTCGCTAACTATGTTAGCATCTTCAGGAGAAGATTAAAACTGTTCTTCAGAGCAATGATAAGTTTCACAGTGTTTCTCATTCAGGAGAAAACTGTTGGCTCTCTGTTTCGTTCATTTAAGAAGAATATGTCGCATTTCAGCACAGGAATTTGAAAACAGTTATCGTATACATTTCAGTTTCTAATTCCATGTAACTTCTTCAATTTTAACCCTTAATTCATTTATAATTCGAGATTCAACACCAACTATGTTCTAGATTTAAAAATCAACGTGTTATGAATTGACCATTTAAGCCCTAGGGAAAATCCGCACAGAAAAGGAATCCAGACATAAAATCAGCAACCGGTGATAAGTTTCACAGTGTTTCTCATTAAGGAGGAAACTGTTGGCTATCTGATTCGTTCATTTAAGAAGTATATGTCGCATTTCAGCGTCGGAATTTGAAAACAGTTTTCGTATACATTCCAATTTCTTATTCCATGTAACTTCAGAATTTCAACCCCCATTTTTTTTCAAATCGAGATTTAATATCAACTATGTTTTAGGTTGAAGGATCAACGTGTTATGCATTGACCATTTAAGCCCAACGGAAAAAGCGCACACAAGAGAAATCCAGACATAAAATCAGCAACCGGTGATAAGTTTCCCATTCCTGTGTCGTATTCAATTCATATAGAATATTTTTTCAAAATTAATTATTTGTTATGGAAGGCGATATATCATAGAAAAAAGGTTTCAGTAGTCACCTTCATGTCTCCATGGAGACACGACAGGTACCCTTACGAGGGAAGAGTATCAACCCTTGGCGTCGGTAAACCCTCATTGCAACCGAGGTAGGCGCCTGGTGGGTTAGGTATATACAGTGTTTTTCATTAAGGAAAAAACTGTTGGCTATCTGTTTCGATCATTCAAGAAGAATATGTCGCATTTCAGCATCGGAATTTGAATACAGTTTTCGTATACATTTCAGTTTCTTATTCCATGTAACTCCAAAATTTAAACCCCCAATTTATTTTCAAATCGAGATTTAATATCAACTATGTTTTAGGTTGAAGAATCAACGTGTTATGAATTGACCATTTAAGCCCAACGGAAAAAGCGCACACAAGAGAAATCCAGACATAAAATCAGCAACCGGTGATAAGTTTCCCATTCCTGTGTCGTATTCAATTCATATAGAATATTTTTTCAAAATTAATTATTTGTTATGGAAGGCGATATATCATAGAAAAAAGGTTTCAGTAGTCACCTTTATGTCTCCATGGAGACACGACAGGTACCCTTACGAGGGGAGAGTATCAACCCTTGGCGTCGGTAAACCCTCATTGCAACCGAGGTAGGCACCTGGTGGGTTAGGTATATACAGTGTTTTTCATTAAGGAGAAAACTGTTGGCTATCTGTTTCGTTCATCCAAGAAGAATATGTCGCATTTCAGTACCGGAATTTGAAAACAGTTTTCGTATACATTCCAATTTCTTATTCCATGTAACTTCTACAATTTCAACCCCCAATATATTCATGATTCGAGATTTAATACCAACTATGTTTTAGATTGAAGAATCAACGTGTTATGAATTGACCATTTAAGCCCAACGAAAAAATCGCACAGAAAAGGTACCCAGACATAAAATCAGCAACCGGTGATAAGTTTCACAGTGTTTTTCATTCAGGAGAAAACTGTTGGCTCTCTGTTTCGTTCATTTAAGAAGAATATGTCGTATTTCAGCACCGGAATTTTGTAACAGTTTTCATATACATTTCAGTATCTTATTCCATGTAACTTCTACAATTTCAACCCCCAATATATTTATGATTCGAGATTTAATACCAACTATGTTTTAGATTGAAGAATCAACGTGTTATGAATTGACCATTTAAGCCCAACGGAAAAATCGCACAGAAAAGGTACCCAGACATAAATTAGCAACCGGTGATAAGTTCCACAGTCTTATTCATTTAGGAGAAAAGTGTTAGCTATCTGTTTCGTTCATTTAAGAAGAATATGTCGCATTTCAGCACCGGAATTTGAAGACAGTTTTCATATACATTTCAGTTTCTTATTCCATGTAACTTCTACAATTTCAACCCCCAATATATATTCATGATTCGAGATTTAATACCAACTATGTTTTAGATTGAAGAATCAACGTGTTATGAATTGACCATTTAAGCCTAACGGAAAAATCGCACAGAAAAAGTATCAACTATGTTTTAGGTTGAAGAATCAACGTGTTATGAATTGACCATTTAAGCCCAACGGAAAAATCGCACACAAGAGGAATCCAGACATAAAATCAGCAACCGGTGATAAGTTTCCCATTTCTGTGTCGTATTCAATTCATATAAAATATTTTTTCAAAATTAATTATTTGTTATGGAAGGCGATATATCATAGAAAAAAGGTTTCAGTAGTCACCTTTATGTCTCCATGGAGACACGACAGGTACCCTTACGAGGGGAGAGTATCAACCCTTGGCGTCGGTAAACCCTCATTGCAACCGAGGTAGGCGCCTGTTGGGTTAGGTATATACAGTGTTCTTCATTAAGGAGAAAACTGTTGGCTATCTGTTTCATTCATTCAAGAATAATATGTCGCATTTCAGTACCGGAATTTGAAAACAGTTTTCGTATACATTCCAATTTCTTATTCCATGTAACTTCTACAATTTCAACCCTCAATAAATTTATGATTCGAGGATTCGAGATTTAATACCAACTATGTTTTAGATTGAAGAATCAACGTGTTATGAATTGACCATTTAAGCCCAATGGAAAAATCGCACAGAAAAGGAACCCAGACATAAAATCAGCAACCGGTGATAAGTTTCGTTCATTCAAGAAGAATATGTCGCATTTCAGCACCGGAATTTGATAACAGTTTCCGTATACATTTCAGTTTCTGATTCCATGTAACTTCTTTAATTTCAACGCCCAATTTATTTATAATTCAAGATTTAATACCAACTATGTTTTAGATTGAAGAATCAACGTGTTAAGAATTGACCATTTGAGCCCAACGGAAAAATCGCAAAGAAGAGGAACCCAGATATAAAATCAGCAACCGGTGATAAGTTTCACAGTGTTTTTCATTAAGGAGAAAACTGTTGGGCTATCTGTTTCGTTCATTCAAGAAGAATAAATGTCGCATTTCAGCACCGGAATTTGAAAACAGTTTTCGTATACATTTCATTTTCTCATTTCATGTAACTTCTAGAATTTCAACCCTCAATTCATTTATGATTTGAGATTTAATACTAACTATGTTTTAGATTGAAGAATCAACCTGTTATGGATTGACCATTTGAGCCCAACGGAACTTCGAAACTTGGGAGCTAGAAGTCATAGGTAAAGTCCATGATATAACAAACATCTTCCTTAGGACCCAATGTTATAAACTTCCACAGATGCATCATGAAAATAAATTACTAGCTAGTTTTTTATTTGAAAGAGGTGCAAACATACTTTTTTTTCATTATTAATCAACTAGGTACCTATGAGTTTTCTCATTTTCCTTCAAGGATCAGTATTTTTTGGTAACAAATGCTTAGGAAATGAAAATTCACTGGGTACTGCATCTGGTTTCAATAACGTATGTCTTCACTTTCTTGCCTGTTTATATGAGAGAAAAAAATCTAAAGTACTTTAATTATTAGATAAAAGAAAACGTAAACACCAATCCACCATTAAACAACACGAGTAGGATAGAGACAGGTTACCGTAAATCATGCTATCTCTGTTGCAGCTGCCCCTGACACACTTTGTGCTATTCGAGAGAACGGCCGTCTCCCTTCCAGGTGTTTATATTGAGTTCATTGGGGTCCACTTGCCTGGCTGTAGCCTCCCCACCATACTACTTGCCGGAAATATTCGGCGAGTGGTACGACAGCAACTCACCCTATATTTTCGGGTTGTTGCGATATGACTACTAGCAGCCTAGATAGAGTAATAAGTCGGTGGCCTAACCTTGTACTTCTTCTTGAGAGCGATGATCTCGGGCAGCCGGCACACCGTGCCCTCCATACTGTACACGCCCTCGACGAAGATCACGATCTTCTTCCATGGCTTGTGAGTTTCGCCAGGCTGGCCGTGGTAGACGGCCTCCTTGAGGAGTTTCTCCAGGTGGCTCACGTCTGGAGATTACAATGTCAACGGTTACACATACACTTTTTTTTTTCTTCCAAGAGGCTTTTTCTTGGGATTTGGATTCAGGTTTGAGTAAAGTAATGGGACTTGTAATGATTTGTCAATTTATTAAATAATCATGGTTATCTCAACCAAAAACATAACGTCATTTTTTAGAAACGTTATTTTTGTTTATAAATACTTCATTATTTGGCTTTTTTCCATTTTATATAAATATATGTTGAATCAGATAGTTCAAATAGCTTAATGTTACTCGAAGTGGATAGAGCTAACTGGTTCAACAAGTTTTCATATAACAGTTTTTCGCCGAGGTGCATATTCCATTTTTTCGTCGACCTCAAACACTTACATCATGTCCATTAAGTAAACAGAAAAGTAACCTATTGCCAACAAAATAGAAACAAATAGTCAAAATAAGTGTGAAAATATTTTTCAGTAGATTATAAAATGTTTCAGAAAATCAGTAACTCAATATGCAAATCAGGATATCTACTGATAATGCAGTGCTATTTTTTCTGCAACCGAAAGAATTAACACCAAACTGAATTTAATATCAGTGAAGTAACCACCAATGTGACTCACTTGACAGATTATTATAATGAGTAAGTAGATGGAAATGAGACTACTTCACTTTGTTACAATTTGTGTTGACAGGCTATACAGGCACGAATTCAATACTACCCGACAGTGCCAAAGGTGGCCAAAGGTTATGGCATAGTTGTGGGTTCGTATCACACTCCACCAACTTTTTTTTCTTTCTTTTTCTTTGGAAGTGATTAATTGAAAAAAATACTGTGGAGGCATTTACAGATCAGGTTCATTCAATTTTCAAGGATGATATACAGTATGATGCAAATGTATGGAATAAATTCATTTCAAAACAAGACGACTTCCGAAAATAATCCAAAAACTAGAGTTCAGAGCTTTTTTTATTGTGTATTTTTTCAACTAGACGACCCTTCGATGTTCAATTCTCAGTAGCAGACCTCTGCAAGATTCAGTTAACCAAATGATAATCCATTTTAATTGCAATATTCTTATGCAAAATTTTGACTGTTGGATAGACGATCAGTAGACCTTTCAAACGAGGTGTCACATGACCCCTGCTTGTATTTGAAAAAATCGTCCATTACGTCATTACTTCTACACCAGTGACGTAACATCTCTCATATGAATGTCATGAGATGAGGCTTCAAAAATTAAAACTCACGTGTTTTTGGAATTTCTTCAAATGTCGCCCATTTCTGAAATAATGAATTTATTCCATACATTTGCATCATACTGTATATATGAATATACTGAAAACTAACTTATGTTGTTTATTCTGGATGACCTTGTACATCATTTTTAGTTCATAGGAGTTCAACTCTAGCTCCTTGGAACTAAAAGTATTGCCTAGCAATATACCTATTTTTGTGTCAGTAATAGTTACGTCAACTTCAAGAGCTGATTTTGGAATTAAAATGGACGCCTTTTGAGTCGGTTTCAGAAAAATAGTCAATTGTTTTATTAGGATCAAATGTGACACTTTGTTTGACAAGCGATATTTGCGTTTGCGAGGCGGAGCGACCTCGAAGCCAAGCACGCAAATTTTGCGAGTCAAACAGAGTCACTTTCGAGTAACTTGAGCATGCCAGTGTCAAAGTAGCTATCATATCAGCTGTCATCCGACACGTTTCTAGTTCCTAGGAGTTGAACTTCAACTTTAGCTCCTAGACAATAAAAGTGTTGCCTAGCGACATACATACTAATCATTTTATTGTGTCAGTAAGAGAAACGTCAACTTCAAGAGCTAATTTTGGAACCATAATGGACGACATTTGAGCCGATTGCAGAAATGAATATATGATTTTACTCACTATTGTGTTTGAATACTTTGACGGTAGCGCCGGGCAGCTTGATGCCCACAATGAGGCTGGCGTGATTCTTCTCGTCGCTGAGCACGAGACAGCCAGGCGACAGGAACGTCGGGATATTTAGGGCGTTGGTGGCGAACCCCATGCCGAACGTGATGGCGTCCTCTACCCCCAGGAATTCGGCAGTCAACCTTCAAAATAATTGAAAACGGTGTAATGGCTATTTCAAGTGGAACAACATTTAGGTACAAAGAGAAAACACTCCTGAAACATTGTTTTTCGTCGACCTCTACAAAAAATCACATTTTACGTTATAATTTCCGAACGAAAAACCGACTATTTCCGAAGGCAAGTGCTTTTCGTCCGCAGACACTGACTTTTCGTCCGCTGCAGGGTTGCCAGTTCTACTGAATTTTCAGTAGATCTCCTGGTTTGTATATTGATCTACTGATCTAACGAAACATTTCATAATCTACTGAAAATTATTTTGACACTTATTCATTATTATAATTGCCTGTATCATTATTAATCAATCTTTAGTTAATCACATACACTTATAAATTGCATAATTCGGCACGCTATGTTTAAATTAATTCAATTTAAAATATATCCAAAATCAATTGCAGAATATCTCACATCTTGCGGCGTCGGTGTGTCTGAAGTTCCATCTGAAATTAGTGTAGGTGCGACACAAGTCTCTGCAATTGTTTTTGGATAAACTATACTAATGATGTGTATAAACCAAGAAAAGGACACTACTCTATCTGATTCATATCATATTCAATTTTTTATATACCTCTATTATAGCAATTTGATTCTTACGTTTAATTTTTTCTTTTGTTTTTTATTTTTGTTGTTAATTTTTACTATTCGTTTCTGTTTTTTGTATACTCAAATCTTATAAGTACCTATGTTACTGTATGTTGTGATATGTGTGGGTATTTTTGAATTGAGAATCAGGAATATGATTATTTTTGTATGAGAATGGTTGCTTTGTTTGTTTCTATTTTGTTGGAAATAGATTATTTTTCTGTTTACTAAAAGTACATAATGTTTTGGCGTCATAGGTTTATTCCATTATCCTTTCTTGGAATTCGTATAGCATCAAATAGATCTGAGTTATTGACAAGGTATTTACTGATGAAATAAAAATCGAGCTGGCAACCGTGGTCCGCGCGGAGAGTGAGTTGACTACAGCTGTCATTTCCTGTTTAGATTAATTATTCACAAAATCCGATAGATTTCACGTGTGAATAGGACCGGGATGTGGATATGTGTTTGAGGTTGACGAAAAAATGGAATATGCACCTCGCCGAAGAACTGTCTATTGTCTCGCCTGATTGCTAGTCTCGGCTATCAATTTTCAGACTCGACTATAATAGACAGTTTTTCGTCCTCGGTACATAAATAACTATTTTCTACAAACGTCGAGAAATGACAAGGTTCGCGCATTGATAACCATATGCGAACTTCTTTTCAGTTTCCTTAAGGTGTTTTAAGCTAGTTAAACAGTATTTTTTATATATAGGCTACGCATGAAGTAGTACAATAAAAATACATTTTTTGACGTTTGTAGAAAAGAATTTGTTTGCAACTCGTGCGCGGAATACTTTGGTGATCTCGACTATTTTAAAAATCAATTATCAACCACCGAAGTAGCATTTTGCGCACCAGACACCAAAATAACTATTTTGTGAAAAATAAAAATATCGATAACATTTTTGAAGGACTCAACAATGTTTTTGTTATTTTGATTTCTGTCATGCTTCAGTTTTATTGTTATTCAGTGCATGAAATTCAAATAGTAGTGGCATAAAGGTCCAAACACAATGCAAGAGAATAAGGAATAGGAAAAAGGAATAGCACTATGATTGGTTCCAAACACGTTCAAGGTTAAAATGGACCAATAGCAGACCTGCATTTCTTATTTTTCATTCCATATTTTCTATTCCTCTACATTGTGTTACGACCTTAATAGTAGCATAAAACACGATGAATATATAAAACAGTTTCGAAAAATAATTTCAATCATCAAATAGTTCAGCTTCTTCATTAAAATTTTCTGGTACGGCCCGGCCGACCCTGCCGTCCCTGACGAGCCGCCACTGTATTGGTCGAGAACAGAATATCAAATGAATAAGTGTTAGAATGCGTTGAAAATTAAATTCAGAGTAGGTGACAGGTGCCTAAATTAGACAGTGAAATTGTGAACATATTTTCTGCAATATCAACTTGGTGAGTACAGTACTTTTCTCAATATATGTTCCTTCTCCATTCACTGGTCCGGAAATTAATATTTGTTTATTAACGTTTCAAATTAGTGACTTTTCCATTGTTATTCAGTCCTAATAATTATTGTTTTACAATTTGTATTCGTAATAATTCCACTCAAAGAGGATACATGCAATCTCATTTATAAATGAAAGACAAAGAATAGTTATTTGTTTAACTAGGCAGCAAAGTAGTAGATTGACTGCCGAGGCTGGATTCCTAGCCTCGCTTCGCTCGGCTATGAATTCAGCCTCGGCAGTCAATCTACTTTGCTGCCGAGTTGAACATATAATTTTTTCACCGATTTTTCATAATGATATAGGAGGATATTGTAATTGCAAATTACAATTCCCACAATCTCTTTATTTTTCCTGTATTCTATTTCGGGAGGATGTAATGCAATGTTCTGCGTCGCATATAGCCAGGAAAGTAGTTGTTTTTCTCTCGTTATCCACCATTGTCGTTCATTTATGAACTATTGTGGTAATGACTGAGCTTCTCTCTCTTTGTGACCATTGCATTCCACTTTGAGTATTTGGCTTTTCCCTAGTTGAAAATACGCCAGTCGGGCAACCAGCCACTCCCATTTCACCTGAAATCTATGCGATAGTTCGTATGAACGAATAAAATCGCAAGTGTTTCCTTCCTAAACGCTGAGCTGCGCTTAAGTGGTTCAGGAACGCTGACTACCTGCAGGTTTCGGAAGGATGTAATGCAATGTTCTGCGTGGCATATAGCCAGGAAAGTAGTTGTTTTTCTCTCGTTATCTACCATTGTCGTTCATTTATGAACTAGTATGTGGTAATGACTTTGAGTTTCTCTCTTTGTGAATACATAAAGAAGTTGCAGGGGGGGTTCAAAATATACGTGAAGACGCTGTATATATCCTTTCGCTGAATGCTATTTTAGTAATGTGAGTAGAAAAAATGAATAATCAGTTTCATTACTTTTCGAGTTCATCGTGCAAATCACACGTGCCATGTTGCCGTCTAGGGCTACCTGTGCTGATACCGTGCTTGTAGATGGCGGATATTGCTGCTTCTGCACATGGGCCGGTCGCCTCGGCAAAGCCCAGATAGTTGTACGATGCCAGGTTCAGGCATTTCGTCTTCGTCCCTGTGAATCTGAATAAATAGTAGTAAATAAATGTTTTTCTGAGTTTTCATCTTACAAATTAGGACTAATAAGGACTAATATGTTTCAGGTCGTGTTGAGTTAATTTTCTAACTGTGATTCAACTCAATAATGCTCTAACCACTAGCTTAACCGATTTTATCCCATGCATAAAAGTTGATGATCCTGACATTCCTAAGAGCACTGCCAAAACAATATATGTGTCGGTTAATCGTCTTGGGTCTTGTTAGTTGCAGTGTTGCTACGAACTTTTAACCATATTCCACATGGCGCCGACCCAAATTATACATAATTATACACAATTATACACATCCAATCTGGAATTATTCGAATTTTATACACACCAACGATTCAGAGCAATTTTCGTTTGAAAAAAAGTGATTATAAGTATTTCTATTCAGAATTTCAATAGACAATGCTGATATTGCTGATACCAACCTCAGATGATTTGAGATAATGGTTTTAATGTATGCGAATAATACCTATGTATGGAACATGTATGCCACTAGTGCTAGCATTAGCATATAGTAGAAGATCCGAACCTAAATCGACCTTCACCGAGCTGATAATAGAACGAAATATATTTTATCATGAATTTAGTATATTAGAAAACATATTAAAAATGGGTTGGCTAAAAAAATCCTGGGCGGACTATTTTTAATTATCTTTCGAAAAATGATTTTTAATTAAATGTTGCAACATCAGGATAATAAAAAAAAATTGTCCTGACTGAAAGTATAAAACGTATAGAATGTGCAGCCGTTGGGTTGTCTACTATTTACCTGGGCGAACTACTGGGTTGTCAGGTAAACACAGGTATATCGATGCCAGTTACTTTCACTGGATTGGATAATTAAAAAAAATATATTTAATTATTATGTAATTATTTATTTATTTTTTTTTGCTACTGAAATATCAGTTGCTCCAAAATAACACGCACTGTTTACTATATGAAGGGTAGTAGAGGTACCTCTACCCTCCATAGTTTACACACCGTGCATGCGCACTTTCTACTATTCAGGGTCCCATCACAAGCGACTGCGATGGTGGGTCCTTTATTATTACACAGTATACTCACCTCGGATCTCTCTGTCACACACTTCCACGCGCGTTGAAATTAAAATCTTTAAAATTCGCAAACCCCTAATAGGACCGGAATTTTCGCAGACAACCCTATATCAACGTGTTCGCAATTGAACAGCGCTTATGATGATATATATTTAATATAATACTAATATATAAAAACAATATAATATCAATATATTGCGTTATAACCATAATAATATATCTATAATCTATAATAGACAATAAAAATATCAATTACTTACTTTGAAATTTTTTTGCTCTTTCTGGAAATAGAAACAAAGTGGACCGCCAAAAATTTAAATTAAGAAATAACAAAAAAGATAGACTAGACATCTTGTATTACGATTTAAAATTTTATTAAAAAACAGTATAAATACAAAAATAATATTAATGAAAATTAAATTCTCATAAATATTTTCTATTCAATATCTGATTCATCAGAAGTATCATTTTGACTCTCGAATTCGTCTGATTCATTAGATTCTTCCTCATTTGCTTCCATTTCGACAATGTCCTGGATTTTCAAAGGAGTTTGATCTCCGATGAAACCTGTTGGTTTTAATAAATCATCAAAATGCCAACCATAGTTTTCAGGATTTGACTTCGCACACTTCGCACACTTTCTACTATTCAGGGTCCCATCACAAGCGACTGCGATGTTGGGTCCTTTATTATTACACAGTATACTTAACTCGGATCTCTCTGTCACACACTTCCACGCGCGTTGAAATTAAAATCTTTAAAATTCGCAAACCCCTAATAGGACCGGAATTTTCGCAGACAACCCTATATCAACGTGTTCGCAATTAAACAGCGCTTATGATGATATAATTTTTTTTTAATTATCCAATCCAGTGAAAGTAACTGGCATCGATATACCTGTGTTTACCTGACAACCCAGTAGTTCGCCCAGGTAAATAGTAGACAACCCAACGGCTGCACATTCTATACCTTTTATACTTTCAGTCAGGACAATTTTTTTTTATTATCCTGATGTTGCAACATTTAATTAAAAATCATTTTTCGAAAGATAATTAAAAATAGTCCGCCCAGGATTTTTTTAGCCAACCCATTTTTAATATGTTTTCTAATATACTAAATTCATGATAAAATATATTTCGTTCTATTATCAGCTCGGTGAAGGTCGATTTAGGTTCGGATCTTAGACTAATAATAATTGAAACATTTATTCATTTAGGCTTATAATTATGAAATATTTCAAAAATTTGGCAAAAATGGCATGATAACATGGACAACAAAACAAATCGTTTCACATATGACATATACAGAAACTACAAGAACAGACCTCCAAATTATACATAATTTGTATAACTATACAGAAAACGGCAACACTGGTTAGATGTGTCTTATAAGTTCAAGATAGAATATATTGAAATTTGATACACGATTGAGAAAAAATTAATTCCTGTCCAATGCTATTATTTTGTAAAAGGGTTAGAAAACACAAAATCATCTCCACAACGTTCAATATTCGAAAGATTATTTAGGGGAACATGTTTCGGGCAGTCATGTGTCCATCATCAGCCTTAATCCTCAAAAACCAAAGGTCCTATAAAATGATATAAATTAATCATGAAAAATATATGAAATAGAGAATTTACTCACGTGGGAATGAAAAAAACTTTATGAAAAACTTTGAATAAAATTATTGTGCAAAGCACCGGTTAAGGGTCAGGTTTCAGATTAATTGTGAAAGGGTCCAATTATTATGTATCAATTTATCATGGAGAGAAAGAAGAATTATGACAATTCAACGATACTCCAACCAGGATAATCACGTTCATTGAGTTTTGAAAACCGATCGGATAGACCAGTCACATCATTGGAGAAAAACTAGTTCGCGCATAGAGAGAAAGATGCACCCTTAACATAAGAGTAAGACCCAATGATTGAAAACACAATCATGATCACCACGATTACGATCACGTGAGCGAGAGAAAAATATTTTACGACGCTATGTTGATTGCATCAGGAAATGTGGTATTGCAAATTGTTTACAGTTGAATTAATTTCTGAGTTGATATTTATGTATTTTGACATTGGTGACCGAAGTTTAGTCATCCTTGAATGTTTAGTCTTTTCATGGGTGAGTGAATGAAGTGACAGAATAATTTACAAGGCCCTGAATATAATGTGAATATTTTACGTAAATAGTTGATAGTCATGAGAAAAGAAGAATTCTATTCTGAAACCAGATGTTATGATTCCAGAATAATTTCTGTTATGAATTCGAATGTCTACCAGAAACCTCAACGATTTCCAACATTTGTATTCTCAGAATTCGTCTGGATTATTCATAAAAAGGTATGGTAAGGTACAAAAATTGATGTAGTCATAACTTTGTTCATATCAAAATTTTTCAATTAAATTTCACGTTCAACTTAATTGAAAGATAATGAATCCTGTAGTGGAGTCTAATTTTCATGGAAAACATTGCTAACTATATTTTGCAAATTTCATCATAAAGAAACATAGTGAGCCCTAAAAGTGGAAGTGGATCGTATGATACTTATTCTTCTGAAACAAAAAAAAAACAAAAGGAAGAAGAAAAGCTCAAAGTCATCTCCACAACAACATGGACTTCTACCAGAAATTTGAAAAAATGAATCATTTGAAAAATGAAAATTTTATAAGATTGCTCCAGTATTAAGTGGGTCACACTGTACATATTCAACTTACTCAAAGGTCCATCCGTTATCTCTGGTAATCCTATCTTTCAGAACCACTTCGTGACCTGGCACACTGCAAATAGGGTAGTTCCAGCAGTCCCTCACCCTTCTGTACACGTACCGAGAATAGAATGCTGAAAATCTGTCGAAGAGAGGCATGTACCCCTCTCTGTTCTTTTCTTTGACGATCTTGGGAGGGAAGAGTGCTTGGCTGAGATACCTGTCACGTGACATATTGATACTTACAATAATGATAGAAGTAAGACATGGTGCCATTATTACGTATTGAAAATTTCAGAAAAATCACTCGACCGCCTACTATGATTTCTCTACGTCACAACGAGCGAGACGTTGATTCTACATTTTCCCGCTAGATGTTGATGCTACAATTGTTGTTGTGACGAGTGGAAATAAAATGGCAAATGGCATTTTAGGTACGCGGAACATATGTAACAGTGAGATTATTCAACTCTGAATTCGAAAAATCTGCGACAATTTCAAAACTGATAGATGTCATAATTGTGCAATGTCGCCATCTATTAGAAGATCGACGGAACCATTGCTCTCGCTGTTCTCGAGAGGTCGAGTGAAATTTCTGAAACAAAAGCGCATCAGTAATTACACCATATCTTACTTCCATCATTCTTACAATTTATCTACGACCACAATTATTGTCAGGCTATATTCCGGATGCAACAGTCAGTACCTTAGAATGGGGATACTTTGACCAGCGGGGTGAATTGGAACAAAACTTCATATTTTCAAATTACCCACTGAAATCTACAGCTGACTTCACTTTGAAACATCGTATCGTGCAAAGTTGTTCAGTATGGTTAAATACTAGTCGATTAACAATAAGTGGCGTTTAAATATTGTTTTAAGACTGTTTTTTATCATATTGAAGCTATCAACAGGGATATGGAAAAAATGCATCAAAAGATTCAAGTCAAAAGACATGATCGATTCAATATTCGGCGTTCATTTCATATAACCTATGTTTGTTAACCATTTCACTAGCGGAATGCCGTGATATCACTGCTCTATTGTTCCCAATATATTTTTTTTTATTACGAATGTCAGAGTTGCAAAAATTCGCCGAAAACTTGGAACAGGCGCGAATGACTACTCATCTGTTTGTAATCATAGATGGTGCCTGATAAGACTTTCCCTCCATCCACCACCCCACAACAATAACCCCCTAAACCCCCCACCAACACCACCAGAGTTCATTTTTGAGATTTTTTTGCTAATGAGATTTTTCTAGTCCTTTTGCTGTTAGGAATTATAGTGAGGAGATATTTTGAGTTTTTAATAAAATGCATTCATAACAATGCTAGGTATAATGTCTCTCTGAAATATTTTATTTATATTGGATTACTTAATCACAAACTGATTCCGGATTGATTTATAGATAACACTAAAACAAAAAATACTTATGTAATCAGTATGCTCACCAGTCGATAAATTGACTACAAGGAGACTTTTGTTCTCCTGTTCCTAGTATTCAAATCTGCGGGTACCTTGGAACATCGCTAATTTTCAAAAATATCTTCCTAACGACTGAACCGGCGAAGATGATTATTTGTATACTTATAGTACATCAACTTATAGATCTTACCATGAACAATAACTTTGCCACGTGTATTTGTAGCTGAAAAATGTTTCAAGTATAGCCATTTTACGGTACTGAATCTGCTGATTTTCCATTCCGAAATCAACAAAATTCACTGAATGTGACATATCTGGAGAGCTGGCATAGTGTCAATTCTGAATATTTCTGCTGAAATTACTGATTACCAAAAGGTAGTGTGGAGTCAAAATCTGTCAATAATGAATTGAATATATTTTTAGGGCATATAAATACTATTATTTACATATCGTATTTAATTCATGATCAAGGAAATTTATTCGATTCAAGACATTTATACATTCTGGTCAATGAATTTGTCATTGAAATGTCATCATGGAAAACCTCCGAGTTTCGGCACAGGTAATCACTGTAAATACTGAACTATTTTGGAACATCAGAATTTCAGCAAAGTCTGTGGAATTACTGACACTGCTGACAGTTGTATTCGGAAAATAGCCTCTATTGTTAGTATTGTGCAACTAATGGTAAGTTCCCAATTTATGGTATTTGCTTTGATTTCAATGTGCTTTTGCATTAATTGTTCAAAGCACTTTTTTATCAATCATCAATCAAATCCAGGTTATTTTCTATTGAAAATGAAACGTTTTTTCCGGCTATAACGCGAAATTGCTCTTGTTTTACTGTGTTCGATCAATTAGGTACTTTGAATGTCATCAATTTCATTTCCGTATCTGATATCACAATGACTTCATTGTGTTATCATTTCAAAAAATCTCATATCCCATGAAATGTCAAATTTCAAGCAATGACAGCTCTGTCTGATAGATGAACATTACTTAAAGATAAACTAAGATGACTACAAGCCGAAGAAATGAAAAATTTCGCTGAAATCTGTTACAGTGTGTTCTCTTAATTCAAAAACATGCATTGCAACTCAAAATCACAAATACTATTTGATTCATTATGGATATTTGGTTATTATATACAACACTAGTTTCGTCGCACCCCAAAATTTTGCCCCTGTTGAAATATGAATAACTTTTTTCTGCTTTGAACGATTTTAATTCGGATCACACTGTTCGCTAGCCCAGTCCTTCAGCTATAATCTCGTAATTCTTTGAAACATAAAATTCTTTACATAGAGTCGCTACAGGATGTTACCTGAAACTGTGCAAAATTTCGGAATTTTTCAAAAGTACCCCAAATAGAAATTGGGGTGGTTCCATATGGCTGTTGGCGAGCAGTGTTTATCACTGGAGATGACGTCACTTGGTCATAGTGTTCATTTTCAGTATATCTCCCGCTCCTGTAAGTTTTAGAATCCTAACTCAACAATTACGAAACATACAAGGGTACTTTCATTAGAAGTGAGACACACTGTATAATGTTCACCTTGAGTCAATTATGATCTTCATATCTCTTCATCTGAAGTTTGAGCTTCAAAATGAGCCTGAGATTTCAAAAATCGGTTGACGAGGAAAAAACTTTGATTGCAAAACCATAAAGTTGATTTTTTTGAGATCATTCTGAAAATAAGAGAAATGAGATAATCTACATGCCTATACTGTCAGTTGAAAAAAAAAATTTCTCCATTTGGGATACTTGTGAAATTTCCGAAATTTTGCACAGTTTCAGGTAACAGTCTGTGGCAATTTTATGTGGACAACCCTATGTTTTAAAGAATTACGAGATTATAGCTGAAGGACTGGGCTAGCGAACAGTGTGATCCGAATTCAAATCGTTCAAAGCAGAAAAAAATTTTGGGGTGCGACGAAATTAGTGTTTCGTAATTTATCGCCTACAGTGAAGTAAACAACATATAAAGAAACACCCTGTATGTACCCGAGGAGCATGAGGATGTAGAAACTGATCTTAGTGAGTGCTGAAGTGACCAGTCTGGGTGGTTCAAAGGACTCTCTTATTTGTCTAGTTTTTGGCTCTTTGGTTTTCTCTGTAGCTATGTGGTACCCCTGAAATATATAGAATGGAATTTCAGTTCAAGAAGAAGATATGACTCATTATTTAAGAAATATGATAATAATATGAAACTATATAAATTCAGAAGTGTTAGACTTGTTAGAGAGAGGAAATCATATAATATACAAATAGCAGGTGACACGTTATAAAATACCACCCACTCACCCTATGACTATTTCATTTTTGACATCAGAAGAACAAATCAGTATAATATTGAATATTTTTCGGAACTATAGCACAACCATTGTCGATCTAAATGAAAACCTAGTAGGCGACCTAGTGCGAGGAGGTATAATAGCCTACTAACTACCTAACTAGGTTGTCATCTAGAACGACAATGGCACAACAAAAGCCATCAACAGTGTGAATATATGTGATATACAGGGTGTTTCCTAACTACGGTTCCTAACTGCAGGTGGTGATTCGTTAGGTCATTTTAGGAAGAAAAGTTCTCATAAACATATGTCCGGAGTTGCTTCGTTTCTGAGATACAGGGCGTTGAAATTAAAGAAAAAAAACGGTAATTATAAAATATCATGAATATCCTAGAACCGATTTGGTTGAAATTTGGTACTTTCATTTGAACTAATAAGACGCTTATTTAGCCCTATTTATATTGAAATTATTGGGGCCAGTGGCGTCTCAATGGGCACCACAGCCATCAATATTGTGAAAAAAAAGTACGCCACTGTCTTTTTTTGGTGAATTTTTATTTTGTTTACATTGAGCAACTCAAAATACAACTTTTTGGTCTCTTGCATTTCCTTCATATCCAGCTTCGTTTTCGAGAAAAAAAATGAAAGCCATAGTATTGCATATCATGAACACTTGCATTGGAGAAATGAGTTTTTCATTATCTCCGCCAAAAATTTAATTGACACTTGATATGCTGAAATTTTAGAAAATTTTATAAATAAAAGTACCAAATTTCAACCATATCGGTTCCAGGATATTCATGATATTTCATAATTATCGTTTGTTTTCTTTAATTTCAACGTCCTGTATCTCAGAAACGAAGCAACTCCGGACATATGTTCATAGAAACTTTTCTTCTTAAAATGACCTAACAATTCACCCCCTGCAGTTAGGAACCGTAGTTAGGAAACACCCTGTATATTATGTCCCGGAAAAAGTAATTTATGGAAAGTGACATTTTATAACCTGTCAACAGAGTTGGGATTTCAACCTTTCTTCCGTCACAGAAAATATATATACAGGGTGGTCCGATTTCTAATACATTAAATTCAACAATGTGTTGTACTCGTTAAAATAATAAAAGAGATAGAGGGTGTTGAAAATACGAGTCTGAATATTGCTTTTCGATGAAAAGTTCCAAACAGTCTGAGATAAATCGACAAAATTTCTCACAGATACTAAACTTTTTACGGTCTATAAGATGAAATACAAATTATTTCATTAAGAAATTCAGTAGCGGCTGAATCTGGGGGTGGTGAAGAATCACTTCATTTCTTGACATATCTACTTGCTTTGCCGTACTTTCGTATTGACCGGAAAATACCCCCACTCTCGAATTTTAAACGGGACTCCCTGTATTTCATAATCGGTTAGGGATTAACATAACGAATTCAACGATACCAGGTTTGATAGGGTAATTTCAAACGATTACGAAGATATTTGCATTCAAAGTTTTCATATGCTCAATGGGTGTGACGGTGCAATATAAAAACTTTTTCCTCTGTAACGTGTCTCGATCTGACGAGATTCCAACAGCGAAAAATAAAAAACAATTTCTATCGAGTCACACTCTATTCTATACAACAGAGTATCATAAAGTTTCAATCTGTGTATATTGGTTGATTGGTTCACATTCATAAAATAACAATGTGCTCAATTGACTCGGAATGGCTGTTTTATTAAATAGGAGAAAAGTTATTTATGTACAGGGTAATTCGCCATAAATGTCCCCCCCTATAGCTCACTTATTTTTTAACCGATTTAAAGATTTGAAAGGTCATCTAAAATGATTTTTCAAAATTTTTTTTCCCGTTGCATCAGAAAATACAGGGTGTTCGGAACAAACGATCTACAGAGTACTTCTTGATTTTTTCAAATGGAACACCCTGTATTTCATTATATTTTGAGATTCTCCCTGAAGAGCTGATTTCATCAATGCATCACACTTAGGGTCTAGCGGGAATGATTACAGAGATATAGGGTGTTCAAAACCGAGATTTTTCAACTTTGGCATTTTTTTGTGTCAAAACTATTTATTATTCGTCAAAACGGCTCCAATGTCCTTATCTCAACTTTTGATTTACTATCTACTGACATTTAATTGGGACATATACAGTGTGGTTCAAGATTCAGAATTCTGATTACCCTGTATCTGTTCCAATTATTAAATGTTGTTAAATGTCAGTAGATAGTAAATATAAAGTTAAGATACGGACATGAAAGCCGTTTTGACCTATAATGAATAGTTTCGTCACAAAAAAATCCTAAAGTTGAAAAATCCCGATTTCGAACACTCTATATCTCTGTAATCATTTTCGCTAGACCCCAAGTATGATACATTGATGAAATCAGTTCTTCAGGGAGAATCTAAAAATACAATGAAAAATAGGGTGTTCCATTTAAAAAAATCAAATAGTACCCTGTAGATCGTTTGTTTCGAGCACCTTGTATTTTCTGATGTAGCGGAAAAAAACTCTATCGAAAATAATTTCAGATGATATTTAAAATTTTGCACTCGGTACAAAAATAACTGAGCTAGAGGGGGGGACATTTATGGTGAAACACCCAAAAAATGTCTATTATAGTCAAGACTACAAATTGATAGCCGAGGCTCTAGCCGAGGCTAGCAATCAGGCGGGACAATAGACAGTTTATCGCCGAGGTGCATATTTCATTTTTTCGTCGACCTCAAACACTTATATTCACATCACGGTCCTTGGTCCTATACACAAGTTCAGAAATTAGAACGTAAAATGTGATTTTCTGTAGAGGTCGACGAAAGAAGAAATTATGTAATTTCATGTTTGATTTCAGTGGTTCCAACTACGAAGGTTCAAAGGTGGTTAATTCACCAGAAGTTTAGCAATATCGAGTGGAATGCAATTGTTTCAAAGGTTTCATTATTAGATAACATAAACATTCTCACGTTCAAATTTACACAAAACTTTGATAATCACATTGAGAATTCAAATATTTATTTACAGCTTTATAGCAGCAGTATCCCTTAATATTCATAAAGGTAAACCAAGATAAACTTTTTTTGTTGGTGCATTTTAATTTTTATGTACAGAGTGTCACGCTGCAAATCTAACCACCGACAATTATTTCATAAAAAATCTTACACAAAACAATGAAAATTCCTTATTATACAAGTTAACATGTCCGTTCCGAGGTCCGTTTACTTCAAATATGAGAAACTTCTATGGAGTGACCCAGCTAGTTGTAACACCCTGTCATTTCTTATTTTGTAACCAAATAAAATCTAGTCCTCACATTTTCTTCTTTTACTTGAAACAATAAAATGATTTTTGTGAAAAAAATTGTTTTCACCATTTTTTCTATGACAATAATTATAACTTTGGATAATTAACGACAATATAAACATAATGTAAATGACCTGACAACTGGCTCGTAATGTGCCACCATAAAATAGACATGTGTATGATCTTATTCAAATTCCAAACTCTGATGTCTGTGATGTCTGATTCTCTATACATTTATCTACAATATGAAGAAAAGATTGATCAAATCACAATCGAAGTTATCGATGAGCAAACTTCATCGATTCAACTTTTGGGTGGATGGATTATTTGGCTGGTGAATTCAGTATAGCTTTTTTTGTTTATTCGTTGACAGATTTCAAAATTTTCTCGCTTCACATATAGTAATCAATGTGTTCTACATTCTTAATCTTCTTATTGAAATATTACACAAGTATGACCAATTAAATGCAGAAAATCAGCTAATAATATCAGACATTTCCTAGCAAAAAACTCTATCATCCGCTGAAATACGTATGTCTCAATTTTCACGATATCATCGAGATATCATATACAAGGTGTTCATTATTAGGAATTATCTATTTTCCATGGAAACAATGAATTAAAAAATATTAGAACATCATAATCATATTCAGGTACTTCTAGAAGTACCTATTTAGTAGTTCTCATTCAATATAGGTATCTTGAAACATCTTGTTTTTAGAAATTCAATTGGAGTATTCACAAATGTTCTAAAAAATGGATAATAAAACTAATTGTAATCCTTTGAAAATATATTCTGGGAGAATATGAAAATCATGATATAATATTTTTCTCCAAACGGCATAGAAAGTGGCTTTTCTATGACACTTAACAGGCAGCAAAGGTGTACTTTCTCTGCCTAGGCAGAAAAAGTTTGTTGCTATGCAACGTTCCAAGTGATTTGAATGAAATTGGTCATCAAAATTGACACTGGATGAATAAAAAATGATGAAGTTTTCAATAAAAAATGACACAAAATTGGTTTTATAACATTTGGAGAAATAATTATATGTTTCACATGGCAGCAAAGAAGATTGACTTCTGCGGCAGTCAATCTACTACTTTGCTGCCTAGTAAAACTATTCTCCGAATTCTTCTCTCTGTGTCTGCCACTGTCACAGAAATAGATGCGGTAAAGGATCCGAAATAAGTAGTCAAGGTGTACAAAAAAGGAATTTTTTTTGTTTTTTTTTTTTCAAGTGTTTTATTTGTTCTAATTAGAAAAAAATATACATTTTTCTATGCTAAGAACAAAGAAAGAAAGCTGAAGAGTGCTAATAATAATAATAATAATAATAATAATGATGATAGCAATAACAATAATAATAATAACAAAAAACAAAAAACAGTTGAATATACATGATAATTATACATTACTATAGTACACAGGCTAAGTAGTACATGGATTGCACAAGATGAAGACATATGAATTAGAGTACCCATAACTTATATGTATTAATAATAGTGAACAATAAGAAAAGAAATTAGAATGAAAGTGTTGGTTTTTATTTATTTATTTACCTAGAATCAGTTTTTTTAATTCCGTTCGGAATTTATGAAAGGGGAGATTTTTTATTTGTCCTGGCAATTCATTATAATATTTTATACCTTTATAATGGATGGAGTTCATTCCATATTTGGATCTGATGGATGGGATGTAAATATTTGTACAGTTTCTTGTAGAGTGTGCATGAACATCTTGAGTTGATCTAAATAGTGTGATCGTGTGTTTACTTTTATTTAATATTGCATGAATGTAGATGCTGGTTTTGAAGTAGTAGATATTGTCTACTGAGAGAAGACCTCTTGGAGAGTAAAGTTCAGTGGTTGGAGTTAGGCGAGGTAGGGAGTAGATATTTTTTATGGCCCTGTTCTGTAAAATTTTCAAGGGATTCAATATTCCACTTCCAGTAGAGCCCCATATTGAAGCTAGATATTGTATTCTAGAATAGATATGGGAAAAGTATAGGAGCTTGCAGTGAGATACTGAGAAGTACTGCTTTATTTTGTATAATACTCCTATAAACGGTGAGATTTTTTTTCTTAGTGCTAAGACATGTGCATTGAATGATAGTGTTTCATCTATCAGAAGACCAAGATATTTTACTGTGTGATTATACATCAACTGAGAATTGCCAAAATCGATTGGGTTGACTTCCTTGCTTCGTGACTTACTAATATAGATATAACTAGATTTATCAATGTTGAGGGTGAGCTTGTGAGAGTTCAACATATTTTGAATAGCTGCTAGATCATTTGCAATTGAGAGATGAATAGATTCTTTACTTTTTGAATGATATACTAATGTGGTATCGTCAGCATACAGCTTCACTGTTCCTTCAAGATGTAGTTTACTGAAAGCGTTGATATATATCAGAAATAAGGTAGGGCCAAGAATGGAACCTTGTGGGACACCACAACAAATTGATCGTGTGTTACTACGAAAATTATCGACTGTCACAAATTGCTCCCTACCTGATAAGTAATTACAGAACCAATCCAAAGCCTTTCCTCTAACCCCAAGGTTTTCTAGTTTAGTCAACAGTATGGGGTGATCAACAGTATCAAATGCCTTTCGTAGGTCAAGCGACACCATGGCACACACATAGCCTTCATCAATCTTCATTTGGATATCTGATATTAAGTCAATTGCCGCAATTTCTGTGTCACTTGACTTACGAAAGCCATATTGGCCTTCATATAAAAAGTTCTTTAGGATTCCAGTAATCTAGCGAACACTGTTAATACTGTGATAGGTCTATAATTTGAAGGTTGTTCAGGGTCACCATTCTTGAAGATTGCACTCACTTTCCCCATTTTCAAATCTGTTGGTAGATAGCCATTATCAAATGTCATGTTGAACAGTTTACATAAAATAATGGAGCATTCTTCCTTGAAGTGTTTAATATGTTTCACTGTGATATTGTCGAAGCCACTTGCTTTATTTGGGTCAAGATTATTTATAATGTCTTTGATTTCCTCAGGTGTAGTGGGGTAGAGAAAGATGGATTCTGCCCAGTTATGTTCTTCTGGTATGAATGGGGTTGGAGGTAGTGCATTTGAGAGCTCAGGACCTACATTGATGAAAAAGTCATTGAGTATATTTGCAATCTCTCTGGGATCTGATGAAGTGTCATGGCCCTGCTTTAAAGTTGAGATACTAGGGTTTTTGTTTTTATTTTTATTAAACAGTGCTGTGTTCAGAACTGCCCACGTTCTTTTTGTGTCGTTACCAGCTTGCTGAATTTGTTGGTAGAAGTGAGATTTTTTTAGTTTGATGACTTCTCTGGTAACTTGTTTCTTATGATGTATGTACTGATTGTGGTGTAGGACACTATTTGGGTACTTGCAGGTTTGTTTATAACATTTATCCCTCTTGTTCATCATCTCCAATATCTTAGCATTCATCCATGGCGCATTGCCTATCTTTTTGTTCTTGAAAACCTTCACAGAGAAACTATCTTGAAAGGCAGTTTTGAGTTCATCATATAGTTGTTGAGTGTCTTGATATCCATGTATCTTGCTTATGATATCATTCAGTCTAAGAAGAACCTGATCATGGTCTAGCTCATTTATCACATGATACTTGCAAGTGTTTTTTTGTGTTTTTTTATTCACCCCCTTCAGGCTTATAAGTTGAAGTCTATGGTCACTGAGGCTGCACTCTATTACAGAAGTGCTCTGTATGATACTGGGGTTGTTTGACAGAGCATGGTCAATAAGATTAGCTGACTCTGATGTGACACGAGTAGGTATTGAGTTATTTAGAATTCCTTGGAGTTTCTTGGAATTCCTGGTGTGAAGCGCAGTATAATCCTGGTGTACAGGGTGATTCACCATAAATGTCCCCCCCTCTAGCTCACTTATTTTTGAACCGATTTGAAAATTTGAATTTGATTTGATCTGAAAAAATCCTAAAGTTGAAAAATCTCGATTTTGAACACCCTATATCTCTGTAATCATTTTCGCTAGACCCCAAGTGTGATACATTGATGAAATCAGCTCTTCAGGGAGAATCTAAAAATACAATGAAATACAGGGTGTTCCATTTTAAAAAATCAAGTAGTACTCTGTAGATCGTTTCGTCCGAGCACCCTATATTTTCTGATGCAACGGGGAAAAATTTCTGAAAAATCATTTTAGATGATTTTTCAACTTTTATTATCGGTTCAAAAATAAGTGAGCTAGAGGGGGGGACATTTATGGTGAATCACCCTGTACAAACTGGAATTTCTTGAAATTCCTTGTGAAATTGAAGTTTGGTGTACACTATTTTGACCGCGGTTTACCCCTCGGTTGTTTATAATTAGCTTTGCTAGGAAACACTTCTGAGTTCCTAGTATAAAAAGTACTGTTTTGTCCCAGAATTTGAAATGAAGCTTCAATGTTTGGTTTTGGGACACAAAATTATCACAGTTGCTAAATTTTAAAACTATATCATGATGGTATATTAAGTTCAAATACCTGTTCAATCATTATGAAGAATAAAATTTGAATATAATCTCAGTTTGATTTCTAATACTCACATTTTGAAGTCCATTTCGTTTTCTTTTTGTGGTTTCCTCATCGGAAGATGTCTGCAAAAGGTTCAAACCATTTTAGTATGAATTTACACTGTAGGCTGAGAAATAAGATGATTTCAAAGAAAAAGTGCAATGAATACTTCCTTTGATATGCAGGGTGATTCAAAATTCCATGTTAATATTTCAAGGACATATTGTTGGGATCAAAATTAAGTCTCTTGCATTTTTTCCATAAAACTAACCTTTTGCCAGAAAATCGTAATCAACGAAAGGAAAGGTCACGACATCGTTTCCGAAACACGATGGGTTAATCGCTTGCATACGGAGGTGATTATACAGAGAAGTGCACAAAAAACCGCAAGGATTGTAACTTTTGAATTATTCTAGATAGGGTTTTGAAAATTGGTGGGTAGCAAGTATACCAAATTGCGCATTAATTGATGAAACAATTCTTCTTCTCTGACTTCCAGTTTCACCGGAAACGACTCCAACTTTTTTGGGACACCCTGTATTGTATTCCATAATCGGTTAGGGATTATGATGACGAATTCAACGATACCGGGTTTGACAGGGTTATTATTATGGCCGCCAGCCTGAATACTATGATCTCAATGAATTTTTGAGTGAATTTTTCTTCAATTTGATACCATTAATTTCTTTTTCCGTCGACCTCGTATTAACGACTAAGTTTAATGTATATGAAATCGTTCATTAATGACCCCTATTAATGAACGATTTGTCTATTAATGCACGATTGTTTTATAGGCAACCAAACATACACCGCGTGCATTCATTGTTTATGCTATAACTAGCGGAATCTGCATTTAAATCGAAAATATGGATTTCATCGAAGATTTTCCGTTAACGGGTTCGCCTTTCCAAGTTTCTGACACGATTTTAATCCCTGTTTTCTAACACAAGGAATTTATTTTCTATGTTGATCATTTCGACAAATGTCAAATGTCACTTATGTCAGTAACAAGGCTACTGGGTGATTCTTAGCAGTTTCCAGATGAATGATGAATTCGCGAAGCAAGTTTTTTTCATTGCAGGAGAAATGAGAAATATAGTCGACGGAAAAATTGTGTAACCAACTTGTATATTAAAAGGCGATTAATGATCTCGAACATTAACGCGCTCGCTTCGCTCGCACGTTAAAATATCTCGATCATTAATCGCCCTCATTAATACACTAGTTGGTTAAATAACTATTTCCGTCGACCTCGTATTAACGACCAAGTTTAATGTATATGAAATCGTTCATTAATGACCCCTATTAATGATCAATTTGTCTATTAATGCACGATTGTCTTATAGGCAACCAAACATACACCGCGTGCATTCATTGTTTATGCTATAACTTAGAGAATCTGCATATTTCATCGACGATTTTCCGTTAACGGGTTCGCGTTTCCAAGTTTCTGACACGATTTTAATCCCTGTTTTCTAATACAAGGAATTTATCTCCTATGTTGATCATTTCGACAAATGTCAAATGTCACTAATGTCAGTAACAAGGCTACTGGGTGATTCTTAGCAGTTTCCGGATGGATGATGAATTGGCGAACCAAGTTTTCTTCATTGCAGGAGAAATGAGAAATATAGTCGACGGAACATTAACGCGCTCGCTTCGCTCGCACGTTAAAATATCTGGATCATTAATCGCCCTCATTAATACACTAGTTGGTTAAATAACTATTTCCGTCGACCTCGTATTAACGACTAAGTTTAATGTATATGAAATCGTTCATTAATGACCCCTATTAATGAACGATTTGTCTTATTAATGCACGATTGTTTTATAGGCAACCAAACATACACCTCGTGTTTTCCTTGAAGATTTTCCGGGTTAACGGGTTCGCCTTTCCAAGTTTCTAACACGATTTTAATCCCTGTTTTCTAACACAAAGATATTTTCTTGTTACTGACATTAGTGTCATTTGACATTTGTCGAAATGATCAACATAGGAAATAAATTCCTTTTGTTAGATAACAGGGATCAAAATCGTGTCAGAAACTTGGAAAGGCGAAATCGTCGATGAAATCCATATTTTCGATTTAAATGCAGATTCAGTAAGTTATAGCATAAACAATTAATGCACGCGGTGTATGTTTGGTTGCTTATAAAACAATCGTGCATTGATAGACAAATCGTCCATTAATAGGGGTCAATAATGAACGATTTCATATACATTAAACTTAGTCGTTAATACGAGGTCGACGGAAAATAACTATTAATGTTCAACCAGATTGTTAATAGCTATTTGCTAGCTGACAACCTCCATTTCAGTGTGTTTAACCTAATTATTGCTGCACATGGTGCTTTATATTATGATGATGATGATGGCCGAGTGCCGAAACTAGTTACACGTTATGAAATAAATTCGTTGTGGTCGACCGACTTTTGTATTCTTCCTTTGAAAAATTTTTGAGAAAATGGATGGTTTCCCGACTTGATTAATTACAAAGATTTTTGCGTTCGAAGTTTCCATATGCTCAATGGGTGTGACTTGGCAATATCAAAACTTCTTTCTCTGTCACACTCATTGAGCATATGGAAACTTAGAACGCGAATATCTTCGTAATCGTTTGAAATAACCCGGTATCGATGAATTCCTTATGACAATCCCTAACCGATTATGGAATACAATACAGGGTGTCCCACAAAAGTTGGGGTCGTTTTCAGTAAAACCGGAAGTAATAGGACGAAAATTGTTTCATAAACTTATGAGCGATTTGGTATACTAGCTGCCCACCAATTTTCAAAACCCTATCTCGAATAATTCGAAAGTTACAGTCCTGGTCGTCTTTGTGCACTTCTATGTACGTCGCATGTTGGAACGCATTTGAGACTGCTATTTCAGAGGCGTGCAGTATTGGCATACTTGCACTTGATCCGTTATTATGATCATAATTTCAGATATTCTTTTTTTAGCTAACTTACTGTAGCTGTAGCTCGGAGGGGGGGGGGCATTTTAGGACACATGTTTATATGAAGAAAAAGACTTATTTTGATCCCAACAATGCCTCCTTGAAATATTTACACTCACCCAGTATTTTCGTGATTTTATTCTTTTTTAATAAATAATAAATAATAAATAATAAATAATAAATAATAAATAATAAATAATAAATAATAAATAATAAATAATAAATAATAAATAATAAATAATAAATAATAAATAATAAATAATAAATAATAAATAATAAATAATAAATAATAAATAATAAATAATAAATAATAAATAATAAATAATAAATAATAAATAATAAATAATAAATAATAAATAATAAATAATAAATAATAAATAATAAATAATAAATAATAATAATCTTTATTATTCCCAGGAAACATATTTGTTTATAGCAGGGAAAATTATGAAAGAGCAACTAAAAAAAAAAATTAGATAATCAGATAATCATTTTTATCTACAACTATGGAGTCATTCATACATTGCTAACAATGCTAACTCGATTTTCAACATTTAATGACAGACATTATTGTGATGAATCGAGTAATAAGAGTAATGATGACAGTAGGATGGCGTAATATTCTGACATCCCATCGTCTTGTCAAATTCAACTAGGTAGGTATTCGTTCTACTAGTTTTGCTAAAGCACACCACTATACTACTGTTTGTGAAATACACGTAAATTCAAAAGACTCACCATACATGGTTGTCATAGTTTTAATCACCTTAATTCTACAAACTCACGGAAAATGGAGAATTCACTGTTTTTCATTCTCAACAGTGACTACAATCATGAGTAACCATAACCATAAAATAGGAATTGACACTTGACAGTTGCGGATTGGCTCACACTCATGTGCGGGCTATTCGAATAGATATTAGTACAGACCAATCAGAACCATGGAACTTCATTGATAATAACTAGCGTCTAGAGACAGGGTACTACAATTAATCATCGCGGTGGGGGAATGCTACAGCGGAAGCAAGTTAATGAATAATCTGCAATATAGTATGATTCATTTCACAACTGAAAAGTCGAATGGCATATAATACCTGGTAAGATTGACTGATATGTGATTGCACGACTTTTTTCCTGTTAGTATAAAAGTTATTTTCACAATCAAAATTATTGAAATAAGTTATAAGCTGTTCGTTGTTTGAAATTTCTGTCAATAAGTTTTCGATGAAATTAATGAGTATTTCAAATCAGATTTAGTCATTTTGCAATATAATAACCTTCATTATTTCCAAAGATAAGTTTCTGAACTATCAGAGTTGCTTTGATATTTGAATAGTTGTAGATAAAGTATAGTATTCTACTCGCGCATAATGACTATTACCCACTCAGATGATTACAGCACTCGCCTTTGGCTCGTACTGCAACTTTCATCTTCGTGGGTAATAGCCCTCATTATGCGCTCGTTGAATAATATACTATATTAAATCATATACATAATACATATAATGTTGTTTTTTCTAGAGACTGTTGAATATAATTTCTTGAATTGATTCAGGATGATATAAAGAGAATCAAAGACATAAGTATTTTTTCAGTTCTTTTTTGAATTTCTCAACACTTAATTTTTTCTTTAGTCTGGCAGGTAATTCATTATAGAGAAATGTTCCATTGTATAAAATAGATCTTTTATTCATATCTGAATCTTTAAAACTGAGAAATGTGTTTGGTTGTTCAATATAGTTGATTTTCCTATTATAAATACTTATTGATGGGTTGGCTATAAACTGGGCTATAAAAAATGAGTATGATATAAAATGTGTGGGTTTCACTGATATTTGTCTGAAAAAAAATGTATTAACCTGGCATTTTCATGTTATAGTTAAAATTAATTTTTTTTTTTTACAAAAATTCCTTGACTTTTTTCAATAAAGTACATCGAGAGATATCTACTCATTTCAATCTAGGACCACATGATATTTTCGTTTATCTAAAGAATCCATGTTGAACCAAGAAAAGTGGGGAATTTGTAGAAATGCATTATAAATGCTCTTCACAAGAAATAAGATACTAAAAAGAAATACTAGGCAAATGAGACACCATTGATGGTGTTGAAATTGTCGATCACATAGTCTATGCAACAGTACCTACTTAACAGACATAAGATGATTTGAATTGAAATGGTGACTCATTAATCAACACCAGAAACGTTCATCCATCGATGGATCATGCCTCGGATCATGCATTAATCTTATCAATTGTAAATTGTATGTATAGTACTTAGATAAAGTATTCTCACAAAATTTATGCAGGTTACCTGTTATCCTTGGCTGTTATCAGAAATAGTATATTTGGCTGGATATTAGGTCATTAAACAAACATTACCTACCTAATGTGTCTATGGAAATCACAATTTACAGGGTCCATACTAGATTTAATTTGTATTCTGAACTACCAATTTATATTGGAAATAAACACTAAATGTTACACAAAGGTATTTATGTTGGAGTAGTAATGTATCTTACCATGTGTGAGGATGATTATGGAAAACATTTTCCTCAGAAAAATAACAGGAAGGCATCAGTTGCTATTCCACATTGGTTTGGAAACATTTGTTGGTAAATATTTGTCAAGATATTTGGGTTAGACAGATTAGTTTATTTTCATGTTTTATTGTGGATGAACCTCTATGAAATGAACAAACATAATATGAATCATTCTTTTTTTTTTAAACTGTCTAACACTACATCCTTCAAGGTACTGACATGTACCTACATCAAAAAAAGTACTTTGAAATTACATGCACAATGTTCTGTGAACATTATAGGAATTTCCTTTCATGCCCTCCAAGAAAGAGATGATAAAATTATAAGTACTTATTCCCAGACTCATTCTAAACTGCCACAATTCAGAAAACTTTTTGAATATGATCAAAAATTTAATAAGGTATTTACTAACTTGTAATCATACATGTAAAAATGTGGAACTTATCAAGGAATTTATATTTTAGGTAGGATATACCAACTGACTTAGAAATCATTTGACAAATGAGAAAATGATGATGTGCAAAAAAACTGTGTTCATTCAATCATACTTGAATAGGTATGAAATGTATGATGCTTTATTTACAGAATGTGTCCATGAAATCCCAGATAAAATCACTTTTCCTCCCTCTTATCACTCCTATTATAAAGTGAAAACATTTTCAAATTGCAAGGGAGAGGTCATGCAATTTTGCCTTATTTAAAAGGTGAACAAATTCAAAATCTAGGGGAAAACAATATTCACCCAGGCAGAAATGGTGACTGTTGTACTTTTGACCTTGCTTTTGACTCTGTGAGACACATCTGGATATATACTTTTTGAAATGGACTATGTTTGTGATCAGTTCTAGCCAGTATGATACTGAAGATTGTTTACTTCCTTTATTGAAAAATGTTTCACTTTCCAGGAATAAACTTGATTAGATGGTTTTTCTTCATTACAAGTAGTATATTACTTGGAATATGTAATGTGATTTAATGAATTCTCAATTTGTTGATATGTATATATATTTGTTAATCAAATTCTTTCCAACCTAGCACCCAAAACTTCCATTATCAAAAAAAATCTGAAAGAATAAACAATAGGTTAGTTGACAGGAAGGTTACTTTCTAGACATACTGAGCCATGAAACCAAGAACAACATTATGGTTTCTTTGAGGTTCCTACCAATTTTATTCTGTCCAAAAAAGTCAATAGACTACTGAACTCTGTAAAATCTACTTTGAAGTCCAGCACACCCTGTATATGTAGTATCTGACCAAAATTTGGCTAGGCTTTGTGGCAAGCTGACAAACTGAGATTGAGACCTTACCTACCTTATTCTAGGAATAGGGCTTACCATAACATATCCATTTGCAGATGAGCTATTCTTGAATCCATTTAGGATTTTTGTTTGGTCCTGAAATAAGACACAGGTGAGAAATACCAACCTGCTTCATCTATGACTTCTCACCTTCTTTGGTTCCTGAGTAAAAATTCTTTGAGTTTTCAAAGAGTCCACATTAGTCAGGGTTTCAGTTTGTACACAGTCACCTGCTCCCTGTTCCAGTCTTCTCCTCATTGTATTATTTTATTGATGAATTATGAGTAAAATAAAATCTATCAACCTAGTCTCCAGCTCCACTTTTCACCACATATTTTCTCACTGCCCCAATTCAAAAACCAGCACCGACTTTCCCACTGATGGCCTCACTATCAGCAGCGAGCCTCACACACTCATTATTATTATTATATCAGACTTATTAACCTGCTGCAAGTTTAGGAGAGACTACTTTGAAATTTGAATATGAATGAGACGATTGATTAGTAGCGCTTGCGTTCTAATTCCCAATATTGTCACACGTGTGTTTTCACTGCGGGCTCCGTTTTAGCTTGATGTGTGATTGGATTGGTAAAAGTTATCGCCTGATTTTAAAATATATCAGCGGGATTCCTTGAATTGATCTTGAAATTGTGACAATTGTGTCAATGGTATTTTGTATTTTGTTTGTATTTATTTGACAAATGACAAGTAACAATAACAAATGACAAGACAAAAGACAGTCAGTTGTCAACAATTATATACAGGGTGTCCCCTAAAAGGGGGCTCCTGAAGATGATATTTCTTGAGTATTTCCGAAACTCTATGTGATGAAAAGATGCAATTTGGTACAAGAACTAAACATGAGGTGGAACTACATTAAATATTGCTAAAAATTTGTTGTATTCATAATATTTGACAATTTAATCCTGGATTATGAAATTTCCCACATTTTTACAGAAAAAAGGTATACTCATAACATTGCAATGAGGCGTATTGGTAATGGAAAAAATGCACAAAAATCGAAGTACTTTTTTCATCAGCATCTTCCTATTTTCCGCATTTTTATGATATTGTTTGGTGAAAAGTTCTTATTTATTTTTTTATAGCCACTATATATGATTTGAAAATTGGCAACGTATGCATAAAATGTGAGTGCATCAATATTTTTAAGTCGATTTCACTCTAAAATGATAGTTCTGATCGATGGGGAACAAGAGCACCTTTTTTTGTGAAACGGTGTTGAATTGTCAAAATATATGCACTGGAAAAAGATTGAGCAATTTTTAAAGTAGTCCCACCCTGTATCATACACTCCTGAATGAAAGTTTGAAATGATTTTATGTTCACCGCATGGGGCATGGAAAGTTTAGTTCTTGTACCAAATTGCATCATTTTATCACTTGCCGTTTCGGAAATATTCAAGAAAAATCATCTTCAGGGGCCCCTTTTCAGGGGGCCGTAGCTCGCTCAGGAGATATTTCTCGACTCATGTTCATTAGAACTTTTCTTTCTATTTTTTGTCGAAGAAGTCGCTGTTGGAGTTTGGCAGGCTAATTTCGGGACACCCTGTATATTTTTTCAATTGTGTTTTTTTTTGCTCAGGTTGGTAGTAACAATGACCAACGAGTGACCAATAGCAAACCTTGCATCCAATTTGAATCCACCGGCCTTGTGTTCTCATAATTGTATCTCGCAAGTAATTCAATTAGTAGCATGCTGCTGTGCTGCTTGTATAAGCTTGTAATGGATCAACAAGCCAACACACAATATTTCTTATTTCTTCATAGTTATCACTTTCGAGTAGCTCGATAGCTCAGTTGTCTGTGCATCTGACTTCCACGGCAGTGGATGGCGTTCAAATCCCTGCGATGCGTAATTTTTTTTCACAAGTAATTTTTCGAAAAATATACATTTCAGAAAAAGGATCATTTAGGACGAGTTCCATCGAAAGAAGTCGAATTTTTCGAAATTCTCCTTCCTCATACTCATAACCCTCTCTTTCACCTAATTAATTTTTGGAAAAATATGTTTTCAGGAGAAAGGCTCATATGCTACTAATTTAATGGCTGGCGAGCATATATGGCGAGAGACGTTTATGTTTTCCTCATGTATTAATTTCAGTTCTAAGCATTCTATCTCACTTTGTCAATGCTTTGTCTTTGATTTTGCTCTTTGGACACAAAACATTAAACAATCAGAAAATTCAGGTGGGCACTTCGAGGGCGCTAAATATCTAGAATGTCTGCCGGGTTATACCCTCAGGCAGTCTAGATATTTAGCCGTCATTGACTTGACCAAGAATGACATTCCGGAAACGGCATTTGGAGGTCTAATGCATAATGTGCGGATGTGCAGTGTACCAACTTGCACAAAAAACGGCCTGCGGCACGAATTCAGATTTACCCGAAAAAATCCATAGCTGCGATATAAGACCAATCAGGCAAGACAACATTGGTATGTAATGTTCGAAGATGTTCGAGGAACATCTTGCGTACCTATGGAGGAGGAAGAGGAGGGGTATTTTTTCCTTTTCCCTTTTGTATATGCGATTATGTTTCATCTTCTTCCAATCACCATCATCAACAGATGGGATAATCTTTGATCCGTATGAGCTCCAGGTGCCTGTCGAGGAGGTTGTGTCTAATTAGAAGCCCTACTCGAACGATCTTGAGGTCTCTTCTGTTGAAAGACAGGACTTCTCTCGTTGAGCGGAGCTTTGATTGTCCCATTCCTGATGGTGAGTCTTGCCATTTTTCGAGGAACTGCCTCTTTTGCATTTCCTTCATGAAGGACATACACATGCTATTGGGTATTCCCAATAGTGGTTCTGGTCCAATGAGTCTCGTTCCTGAACCAATCTTAGCTAGTCTGTCTCCCGAGTGTCCTCTGGGACCCACATGAGGCTGACTTTCCTAGTTTTTGCCATAATTGTCATTTCTACACTCGGACACAAATTTAGTTGTAAACCTGATGAATCCCACTTCTGCCGAAATTTTCTTGAATACACGACGTCAGTATTGCAAACACTTCGGCCTGGAACACTTAAGCGTATTTGCTAAGTGGTACTGAAATTCTTTTACGTGTTCCTCTTTCATATAGGTACTCCAACAAAAAACCCGCCTCCAAACCTTGAGTCATCCGTAAACCATGACCCGTTCGCAGGAAGCAAACCTGGCGTATTGCCAGTCCGTTCCTATAATGACATGCGGAGCTTTGAGCTTTATTGAGATTCAGGACTGGCATAGTGTGCTGTCCCCATATGAGGGAATGTCCATAGTCTGCCTTTTAGATCCATTAGTTTGCACCATTGATTCTATAGGCAGTACGCATGGCTTTATGTTCTACAATCAGATGCAGTCCTGAATTTATAAATAGGCCGTATAGGCCGCGGCCTAGGGACAGCAGCGTCCTAGGGGCGGCAGATTTCAGAGGACGGTCACTTGATTTCAGAGGATAGAAGTCAAACACGTCCACTGGTTTTCTAATGGTTCAGATTCAGAGCTCATCTGTAGATGTATTGACGGTATCTAATCTCTATGGATCTCTAATAGAGTTTACAATAGCAGAACGAGAAAACTTTGACTATTCCGAAGGAAAAGCAATTGAGATGAGCACACTTAAGCAATATCAAAGTGAAATAAAGAGACAACCTAAAAGAAAAAGAATGACCGATGAAACAACAAATGAAGAACCTGAAATACCCTCCGGCTCCAAAGATTATTTCAGAGTGAACACTTTTTTGGTCATCCTTGATAGACTGAAAGCTGAAATACAGGAAAGGCATAATACTTACTTAAACTTTGAAGAAAAATTTTCATTTTCAACAAAAATGACTGAACTTTCAGCACAAAAAGTTACAGAAAAAGCCCAGTCTCTCGTGAAATATTATACCGATGATTTAGAGGATGATTTGATTCAAGAATGTGTGCATTTCAAGAGTCACATTTCCTCTGATGAAACTGCAGAGTGTACAGTGAAGCGGGGTGACGCCTGGATCAAACTCATTACTCAGTCTCTAAACGCATTGCACTTTTCACTCCGGTTACAAATTGTTCTGGGGAAAGGGGTTTTTCCTGTTTAAAACGCGTGAAAAATTATCAAAGGTCTTCATTGTCTCAAGAAAAAATGAATTATCTGGCTCTTCTCTACATAGACGCAGATATAATGAATAGCATAAACTATGATGATATTATAGATGATTTTGCTATTCAAAAGGCCCCTTTACTACAAATGGAAAATTATTATTTTAGAAAGGTATGTACATGGGGCGGGAGAAATAAAGTGGCCTAGACTCATAAAAAATATAAATCCGGCACTAATCAGATGCAGAGGAAACAGACCTTGTACGACCCCAAGAGCTCTAGTAGGTGCCGTTCTCATAGCACCTGATATTCCCAAGCAAGCCAGTCGCTTAACGCTATATCGAGATCCCCACGTTTTTCCAAAGGCTTTTCTGCATGCTCAGTAACAGCATATAGCCTCCTTGATGCGGTTACCTATATGCTTATTCCAGGTCAGCTTGGAGTCGATTGTGATTCCAAGATATTTGGTTGAGCCTTTGTATTGAAGACACCTTCCTGAAAGAAAATACTCCTGAATTGTTGATCGAATAGCACTAGGTCCGCTTTTTCCGGATTCACTCTTAGCCCACCGGCAGAACACCACTGTTCCATTTTCCTGAGAGGTCCCATTATGGAGTTTCCTAGGTGATTCAGCGGTTGGCCTTGAGCCATAATAACTTAATCATCTGCATATGCTTGATGCGCATATATCCCTGACTCATTGAGTGTTGTGAGGAGCTCATTGATCACCAGGCACCGTAGGAGAGGTGATATAACCCCACCTTGAGGGTACCCGATCGCCACCGCGACTCTGGCGGTCCATGAACTTCCACTTAGTGCTGCTCTCACTATACCTCATGGCCCGAATAATCCACCTAATCAAAGTTCGGTTTAATTCCATGCCTCTCCGCAGCAGAACAGATGGACTCAAATGAACGTAATGTCAAATGCTCCTTCTATGTCTAAGAAGACCCCCATGGCAGAACATCCACAAGCTAGCACTCTCTCGATCCACCCTTTGAATAAAATGGTGAAGAGCTGATGGTGAAGAGCTGCATCTGTGGACTTTCTAGTTTGGTAGGCAAATTGCTGCTCATGCAGTATGCAGTGGGTCATCCGCAACGACTCTTCTCTGATGAGTCGATCTATCAGTCTTTCTAACGTCTTCATGAGAAAGGACGTCAGACTGATAGGTCGATTTGCTTTAGCTTTATAATAATAATATAATAATAATAATCTGTTTTCCCTGGTTTTGGGATGAAAGCAACCCTGACCAGTCTCCATTCCACTGGTATGTAGCCCAGTGCCAGACAGGATCGAAGTATCTTCATATGCAGGTGTATGATCGCATCACTCGCATCCAGTCCTAACTTGGAGGAGGGCTGGAAATATACCTTAAATGGTGCGAAAGACTTTATTGCCTATCTTATTTTCTCATAAATATGTATAATTATCTACCATCTACATTTAAAAATATAAAAACAACTTGGAATATAACTACAATAACTTGTTTATCAGACCATCCAGTAGTCCAGTGGATAGTTCTGTTGTTCTGGAAACTTATAATGCATATTGTTGCAGAGATGCTCGAATGTTTGTTTCATTTATTTACGACGTATTAATCATACCAGAGGTCTTCTGGTGATATACTTATTTCATTATAACTCAACAAAAATATTGTAGGCGGTATTCTTCCCGTCCATTTTTCATTCTCCAAAATTTGCTTTTTCGAAAATCAAAAAATAATATGGGAATGAAAATGTATTTATTTATTTATTTAATAATTTATTTATCTATTCATATGAAAAATACAACTTCCAGACATAACAAGATCTGGTATGATGAGGTACATAATAATTATAAACCTATTGGTAAATATTTCATCATTCAGAATGAATACAGAGTTAATCAAATGTATGGAACCATCTATACAGGGTGATTCATTAAGAATGGGAAATCTCTGAACTACAGATAGTAAACACAAAAATAATGAGATTTAGCCCAATATGCCTGATGAAAATATTGCTGGTTTAGGTGATACAGGGTGTTCTAGGGGGAGATTTTATTCACAATAACTTTGTTAGTTTTAACAGCATGAACATGAGATCTTGTATTTCTGGGTTTTCTGACATGAGGAAGAATTTGCAATTTATTTCGTGATTGCTCATAGAGGGCGCTAGTGGCGCTCTGTTACTTCGATAATTTACATCATGTCTTATTGATGATCAAAATAAGTGGAGAATCTGGAAGCTTGTTCAATTTCAAATGAAAAGTGTAGTCTTCATCTAACTGTCTAGCTTCAACGGTTTTTGTGTTATTCGCTCTTGAAGAGTATCATTTTCCACTGAACTACAGATAGTAAACACCCAAATATGGAGATTTAGCCCAACATGCCTTATTAGCATTATAAAAGAGATACAAGGTGGTTGAGGAGAAGATTTTATTTCAAAATATCTGATGGTGGTATAATCCCCCTTGTGTTCTTGGGTATGATAATGATGGTATGATGAAGTAAACTTTATGCAGGGTGAGTCAAAAATGTGTACCGATCATATCTTGAAGGTGATGGTACATTGAAAAAAGATTTTTTATCAATAATAATAATAATTGTAATAATTTTCCCGCATATATATAACCTCTAAACGATAGAAACCACCAGATTGAAATTTCCTGCATAAATATATGTTGATAAAATACATTTTTTTGATACCTTTCTACATTTCTATTGATATAAAGGGTGCATGGGTCATGATTTTTTGAAGACAAAATGTTTCCTCGTATTCTTTTTGGTGACAAAATAAAAGTATTTGATAGAACGAACAAAAAAAACATAACAACGGTAGTTTCATCAAAATACAAAAATTGTAGCCGTTTTCGAGATATTTGAGTTTTTGAGGTGACATGATATCAGCAGATGAATTCATCGGTTATAATATTTCAGGAGGCCTCGAACTTCTTGGCCGGACACCATCTCTATTCTCTTTTTATAACATTCTTTTTCACGCAATCTTTGGACAATCCTCAAAATTGTTCTAGAATCTGGAACGTGTCGAGTGTTTCCCGCTCGTCATAACGAATAACCTGCAATTTCTTAAAATCTCAGTTGAAAATCGCAGTAATATTATTACTGAGTAAAAAACTAAACAAGGTAATTAACAATAACAATGTTTATTTCATGGAAGTTAAAATAAAAATTAAATTGATCATGGCCTTCTATGATATTATTACTGATATGTGATATCATGTGACTACAAAAACTCAAATATCTCGAAATCGGTTAGAATTTGTGTATTTTGATAGGAATACAGTTTTTATGTAATATTTTCCGATCTATCGAATGCTTCTGTCTTCACAAAATCATGACCACCCTCTAAAAAAAACCCTTTATAACAATATCAGAAATGTGGAAGTGTATCAGAAAAATGTAATTTATCAACACATATGTAGGTACGCAAGAAATCTCAATCTATAGTGGCTTTTACCGTTTAGAAGTTATACGCGGGAAAATTATTTCAATCAACTTTGGAAGGATATTATCTTCTTTAATATACATTTTGGGCCAGTAGTTCATTCATCAAACTAAAGTTTTTTTATGTACTATCAGCTTCAGAAGGCTCGGTACACATTTTTGACTCACCCTGTATAGGAGAGGGCTATAATAGGTACCTATATAATAATCGAATCTAAGGTATATAGTCTATCCAAAGTCAATTGGAGCACCGCGTGGTATTTGCGGATTTGGAGTTCCTTTGAAGTGAGTGCACGTGCGGCTAGAGATGCTCCAATTGACATTATACTGATAACGTCAATCGTCATCATGTCGCATCGCCTTCCAAACGAGGGCGAACATTTTTTATTATCCACTAGATGGTGAGACATTTTTTTTTTCATTCGACCGCCTCTATTCCTCAGAATAGATCTTCAGAATCTTCCTAAAATCAATATACGGACATTGGACATTCGATGGATTTGATTTCCGATGTATGTCTTATGGACGTTAACATTCTTCCGATATTTATTTCCGATAGTTAGGTACACGATTTTAGGGAGAAATGAAAGTTTTTTAATAACTTTTGAATCATCAACAATTGGATAACCACTTATACGGTTTTTTCGGAAGTGACAATGTAAACCCTCATTCCGAGCGTCCCCTACGCCCATGCCTACCGACGGGACTACCATGAGTCTGCATGAGTCATTCCCCATTGAACTCCCCTCTCTCCGTTTCATACGGTAAAGCAACTGCATCACCACTGAAGTTAGACAACAAAAATTCTGCCTAGCTCTGGTCTGGCAATTTCCCATTCTCGATTCTCGAAGTTTCGCGTTTGGAACTCTGACGTTTGCGTTTGACAGTGCGGTGCTACCGGCAGACAGACGCACGAAAAAATACTCGACATCGACATTCCAAATCCGTTGTGCTATAATCGAAGTAAATGGAAGATCCCAAAGACACTGGCAGAGAGCCGTCACAAATGAAACGAGAAATGGACTCTATAGACGATTTTGAGCATTTGGGGCACGATTCCAGTCCGCTGAAAGACATGGCAGCCGCTACTAGTGATTTGTTGGGGTTGCACAGAGACGTGGAGGCGCCAGCACGTGATACAATCCGGGAAATCAATACCGCAGGCAAAACTGTAGGGAGTAGTGTTACCGGCAGCCACGGTCACCACGTACTAGACCAACCCCTAATTCCCCAAAAAATGGACTCGAATTTACTGCAAGGAGGCGATCACCTTCCTGAACACAAAGAGTCTGACACCAAAATAGATAAGTTGCTAGCGGACATGACGACGAAGGCCCACCAGACTGCTGATAATAAAGCCAAGTACGATATACAATCTTTCATGGACAGTGAACGCGGGTTCGGCCAAGAGAAAGATAAGTTACAGTCGAATAACGATATTATGGACCGTTATTCGGACAGTGAACCTGAAGAGTACCATAAAGCTTCCAAACATGAAGACTTTCCGAAAAAAGCTGAACTTCCGGAATCGTTCGGTTCCATCGAAAATATCAAGCATGAGACGTTCAAAGACGTCGACGAGTTTTTCCATGAGTCTCCGAAAAAGGAACCGATCGTGACTAAACCGGCTCTGCCAGAAATTATTGATCCTGTCGTGAAGAAAATCGAGGAAAAGGCTCCAGAGCCTGTCAGGAGCGCTGTCGAAACTCCGAAAATTTCGGAACCTATTAAACCTGCTGAGGTGAAACCACAACCGGCACCTGTGGTCAAAAAACCAGAACCCGACTTGCCAAAGAGAGTTGAAAATATTGTCGAGAGAAAACCGAAAATTGCGCCAGCTGACGCAGAAGCTATTTTCTGCAAAATGGGCTTAGGTGAGTGAACTCCTAGTCATTTCATTGAATAGGTATGCCATTCAGACCTGTTGGTTCTAAACAAAAATTATTTTAAAATTGTTCTTTCCGTCATTCGGTTGTCCCGAGGGTTGCCCCCTTGAGAGAGCATCCCTCGCAAGTCTTCAAGAGACTTGTCGCGCAAGCAAGGAATGACGTGTGATCCCAAACACTCTCTTGGGCCATCAGACAAATGTCTGCAGTCGTTGGGGTTTGAACCCACGACCGGCAAACCATTGTTATTAGAATACTACGCTTTCACCATGTGGCTTCCTGACCCACTGCGACCCACACTATATATACACGGTGATTTGAAAGTAAGCAGCGTCCTTTCGGGGGTGTAATCCTTGCATAAAAATAAGGCGAAAAGTTCCTATTAATATGGGTCATAAGGGAGCTAGGCTCCTTTGAATAGGACAACTTGTATATATAGACGATTTTTTCTTTATATCTTTGAAACCCTTCACAAATAAATTTTGAAAATTGGTAAACGGTATAAACATTTTGATGGTTAATGAGATTCTGAATTCAAAATCGTTGAATAAAATATCAGTAAAAAAGGGTTGTTTTTTTTATGGTAATGCATATTAATTTTCATCGATACGAAGGCGATTTTATCGTATATGATACGCTCTATCGAATTGAACTAAGAGTATCTTTTTTTCGAGAAAAACTCTTCAATTGCATAATTATCAAACAAAATCACAATAACCTAGAGAGTAAAAGAAAAAGAGATGATGTTTTTAACCATACCCTCATATACAGGACGCTCCTGAATCAAATTTCAAAATTTTGAGTCTAGAATCTTATTTACCATCAAATGTTTATACCGTACACCCATATTCAAAATTTAATTGTGAATGGTTTTGAAGTTATAGAGAAAAAATCGTCTTCAAGGTGTCCTTCTCAAAGGGGCATAGCTCCCAATTTAATACGATTTTTTTGGTCTCATTATTGACACTTGGCGAACGAATACAGGGTGGTTCATAATTCTGAATTTTGAACTACCCTGTATTCGTCTAAATTGAATATCAGTAGATAGTGAAGCAAAAGTTAAGATGGGGACATGTGAGTCGTTCTGACCAATAATGAATAGTTTGGACACAAAAAAATCCTTAACTTAAAAAATCTCGATTTTGAACACCCTATATCTCTGTAATCATTCCCGCTAGACACCAATTGTGATACATTGATGAAAGCAGCTCTTCAGGGAGAATCTAAAAATGCAATGAGATACAGGGTGCTTCATTTGGAAATCGAGAGTAGATGCCCGTTACCTCGCCGTTACGCTTCAAGCGAGGGGTAAATCTCCAGGAAAAATGTGTACACCAGACTTTCAATCAACATAGACTTCCAAAGACATCCAAAGACATCCAAAGACTTTCAAATACTTCCAAAGACTCCCAAACACTTCCAAAGACTTCCAAAGACATCCAAAGACTTCCAGAGACATCCAAAGACTACCAACGACTTCCAAAGACATCCAAAGACTCCCAAAGACTTCCAAATACTTCCAAAGACATCCAAAGAATTCCAAAGACTTCCAACGGAGTGTACACCAGACTTCCAAGGAGATTTACCCCTCGGCTTCAAGATTTCAACTATGGAATATGATAATTGCAAAAAAATGTGTCCCCCGCCAAATTGAAATCGACCTGTCCGAGCGATTTTCAATTTTTTTAACGACATTGGAAGTTTAGGGGTGACAAGTTTTAGCTGGGACACACTGTATATGCCTATATGTACCTTGACAATTTTTTATGTTCGTCCCAGGAAAGTATTTCAACGCAATGCAAAAAGTTCCTTACAAGGGATTTCCTGGGATTCACTATTGTCGTAATGGTATATCCATGGAATGTCTTGGGATGATGTAGGTAGTACCTGGTATATCTCTAGGACGAACTGAAGGGATGTCCTGGTAGGTCCTTTTTGGAAGCCAAAGGATGTCCATAGACCGTCCCTGGTACATCCCGTGTACCGACAGAGGCTGTCCCAGGGACATCCTCCTACTGAATGAGGGACGTCCCTGGGATGTCCATAGGATGCACTTGTGTTGTTAGGGTATTGTAAAGATGATAATTCTCGATTTTTTTTTAAACAATTCTTGATTCGATATGCCCTCTGTACATAATCTGAATACACTGTGGACTCCAGAGACTACAGCATAACACCCTAATAATATCTATCTCTGATATTTATAATGATATTTTCTTGAAAATTTTGTGGTGATTGTATTTTAGGAGACTCAAAAGTATTCGGCATTGAATACATTTGAGGTTGGGAGGTTGAAAAGTATTTTTTCTTGGATAAGGATATTAGAGTTAATCTCGGAGTTAATTATAACCTAGCAAGAGTTGGTAAAATTGAATTTGAAGGGTGATAATTTTTTTCTAAAAAAATTAGTTCTTGAGATTTTGCGCATATTAAATATGGGATATTTGAGGTGGCCGATTCTAAATCTGATGAAAAAATCATCTAAAATTAACCCTATAATATCATTTTCCAAAAAAAAAAGTTTTTTAACCCCCTCCAACACCGTGGATTAATACTATGCCGAATACTTCATTTTCCTAATATACTCACAATCACCTATCACCTTATAATCACCACCAGAATTTCAAGAATCAGGGTGTATTCATCAAATGCGGGACACACTGTACATGTTATACCTACTTAGTAATAATTATAAAGTGAAGGTTAGATTCAGTTTAAAAATAGACAATGATAATATTGAATTTTTATGACGCCTATACACATAAATTCTGAAACATGATGTGTTTATCTTCTTGCGGGTATCTATATAAGTATAAATAGGTAGCAATAATAGTTATTTATGTATCAAGGGCCTAAAGTAGGCTTTTATGGACCGTAGCATAGCGAGGGCTATTAACCGTTACCACCATCGGTGGTAACGTATTAACACGTCTAGGTCCATGTAAGCAAGTTACGCCCGAAATACATACATACAACATTTTATGAACGACCGGTATATCTGATTTTTCATTCTTGCTGTTGCTGCTGCAGTGAGGAATATTATTGATGGAATCGACGTTCCATGGTAAATGATATTAGGAGTCGAAATAGGTCGAAAATTACTTCAGATTCGGAATCAGGGCGCCCAATTCACTAACTATTCATATTTTTCCTGGAAAATTCTCAGTTCTGAAAAATTAAATTTTGTTGCACTTTTTACGGAAGCACACCCGTATCTTACGTAATTGACTTTATCTTTGGACTTTCCCTTCCTCCTGCAAAATTCAGAACCCTACCTCAATAATTACGTGAGATACGTGGGTGCTTCCATGTGTAGTGAGACAAAATTTCATTTTTCTGAACTGAACAGTTTCCAGGAAAAATATGTAGTCAGTGAATTGGACGTCCTGATTTCAAATCCGAAGTGTTTTTCAATCTATCTTGGCTTCTAATAACATTTTCCAAAATTTAATTTTTCAGTACTGAAAATGTTCTAGGAAAACTATGAATAGTTAGTGAATTGGGCGTCCTGGTTCCGAATCCGAAGTGATTTTCAACCTATTTTGACTGCTGATATCTTTTTCCGGGAATTGGGGTGGTTCAATGGCTATTACTGGCGAGCAGTGTATATCACTGAAGATGACCCCACTTGGTCATAGAGTGCATTTTTGGTATATCTCTCGCCTCTCGCTCCAGCAAATTTCAGGATCCTTACCCAACGATTACTTAAGATACAGGGGTGTTTCCATTGGAAGTGGGTCACACTGTATAAGTGGCAAATAATGGTTTCTGTGTTGTAATGAGTCTCAAAAGTTGATTGTTGATACATAATTCAGCACTTTCAGCAGAATTATTACAATAACAGAAATACTGGAATGAGCCAGAATAGGATGAGGTAATTTTGCACTCATTATGCGATGTTTTTTTACGAAAATTTTCTTTGGTGGGTACGTATTTTTGTCTCAGGAACGCGAAATTGATAATGAAAATGTGAACAAACCACTATTTATCGAGATATTTCACGACAAAAATTGAAATTTCATCTAATTTTTCAGCTTGTCCTAGAACTATATGCCTTTCTTTTTTTTCATCATTGGCCATTTATTTATGATACATTTTCAAAATGAAAATCGTGTAGAAATATAATTTTCTTGCGATTTTTTCATATTTACTATTTGGTGAACAATTAAGATTGAAAAATGATACCAGCTGACGGGGACTGCCATTCGCCATTCTGCATTTTGCCATTTCTGCCATCTTCCATTCAATTATCAAGGACATATGCAAGAATTCACTTTCACCGTGGATAGGTGAATAGGAATCCCACTTTGTGCATGGTTTCTGTCGAGTGGTATATGAATAAATAAATAAATTAACAAGTAATTAAAATAAACAAATGAACATTGCTTAATGAATTTATCCGTAATACTAAATTCGGCTCATTGATGGCTGGCTCAAGTCGTTTCATGAGACCGATATTTACATATATTTCCTGAATACAATTTTCAATATTTCAATTATTATCAACGTGAAAATTTTTCGGAATTAAGATTCAAATACGTACTACCAGATCGGTAGGTTGTTCGAGGCCTCAAACTCCCCCCGTGGATGCGCCGCTGCGTTGTGGTCGATAACGAACCGCACGCCTGCTCAGTAAGCTTTTGAATCAGGTAATACGACGGAGCGGTGCCCAGCGTTGCCACAGCTCGCTCGATCGAGCAAGATCTCCCTGGTTTTGTCACTAGTTCACTCTGGCTATATTTCAAATTCAACTGGTCAGTACTGTCAGTAGATCCGCTGACTCTGCTGAAAATTTGTGTTCCGAAATATAAAATCAAAAATGCAGTGCTGTAATTCGGAACACGTTTTCATGGTTTTCATCAGTATTCAGCAGCAGTTGATCAGCTGGTGAAATTTGAATATTATTCTCAGCGTCCTTTATTGATAAGACAAGACACAATGTTTATAAAACAACGGAAATAATGTGATAAATGTGACATGCCTTCCCT